CCCAATGCACAGCCAAGTAGTTCAGGAGTCTTGTCCATTCCATTGCAGATTGACCCCAATGAGAGAACCACCATGGGTAAGAAGCATAGGAGGGCAGTCTTGGAGGGCATTGACCGATTGAACCATCAAGATGCTTTGGTCAAATCCAGCATTGGTCTGAAGGATGTCCCAGTTTCAGAGCCTCCAACCTTGGTCATTACTTCGCATCCCCGCATCTTTCAGGAGCTTCAAGCAGCAGATGGTGTTGCAGACGTTTTTGACGTCGGTGTGGGAGCTGAGCACCTCAATCCTGAGGAGAACTCCAAGGTCTGGTATGATGTTTTGCAAGACTACAAGAACATCGTCATTGCCATAGGGTATGAAAAGAGTACAGACTCTTTGAGACATGGTAAGATTTTGGGTGAAGTAGAATCCCATTGTGACATGAGTGGTAGCCGGTTTTTGCACATTGATGTTGCAACTACCCAGAGATGGGAGGAACATGAGTTTCCACAGATTCCCCATATCAACGACCATGACTTGGCATTCACCTGCAATGATCCTAAGTGGACTGAGCTTTTCGAATCGTGGTTTCGAGGACAGACCATGAATGATGTTTTGTCTTGGCAGTTCGTTGATTGGTTAGGTGAATGGACCAATGACACAACTTTGGACGATGAGATGTCTGTAGCATTTGTTGGTGAACTGCAAGAAGAGGCCATGGATGATGAACAGCAGTTCGATGCCATCTGGGATGATGAAGATCGTGCACAAGTGAATCCAGTAGAAGACCTGATCTCAGAAGAGACTGGTCGATGAAGTGGACATCCCAGGCCTGCCAGCAGATGAAGTCGAACGACGCCGGATGTGGCGCAAGTTGCCTGCACGTGTGAGGATTGGTGTGAGAAGATTGCATAGGCAATTTGGACACGTCCCCAAACAGACGATGATCCATCTCCTTCGTGCAGCAAAGGTTCGAAAGGAATTCATTGATGCTGTCAGGATCCACAGATGCGAAACTTGTGAAGCAACATCCCAGAAGAAGGCCACGCACAAGACAGCATTGCCTAACAACTACTCGTTCAACCACACTGTAGGAATTGATGTGTTTGAAGTTCACGACATTTCAGGTGACAAGTTCCAAGTGTTGAACATGGTTTGTTTGGGTACTACTTTTCAGCTATGTGAGGTTGTTCGTTTTGGTGCTGGTCAACCGTCTTCTGCCGAATGTCTGAAAGCACTGAGGAAGCGTTGGTTCTCATGGTGTGGCCATCCTGTGAACATTGCATGTGACAGAGGTCTGCACAACCGAGGTGTCATGAAGAAGTACATGGATGAACATGGAATCCAAGTGTACCACACCCCTCTGGAAAGTCCGGAGAATCTTGGTCGTGTAGAACGTCATGGAGGCATTGTCAAGTCACTCTTTAGGAAGGTTTGCAAAGAGACAGGCGCTGTTGGCAGAGAACAGGTTGAGCAGGTACTGCTCGAGGTAGTAGCTACTAAGAACAACTCCAGTAGAGTCGGAGGTTTCTCGCCTAGTCAATGGGTACTTGGAAAAGGACCCCGATCAGATCCGAGCCCATTGTCTGAAGAACGGTTTGCCGAGCTTGGAGCTATTGAAGCCCGTCACAACCCAGAGAGCATTTTCGCCTTACAGCACATGGCCAGGCAGGAAGCTCAGAAAGCATTTGTTCACCTAGATTGTTCGGCAAGAGTGTCCCGTGCGCTTACTCGCAATGCTTCTAGTCTTCCTCGGGAGTACGCAGTAGGCGATCTAGTGACTTTTCGCCGAGACAACCAAAAGGGGGGCACCACATGGAGTCCCACTAGTCGGGTGATAGGCCATGAAGGTGAAAGGAATTTGTGGTTGTTGTGTGGAAATGTTCCAGTGTTGGTTGCCAATCAGAACGTGAAGATCGCGACTCCGACTGAGGCACTAGCGCATGCAGTTTTGCATGGTGAGCCTGTTTTTCCCGAAAACGTTGTCAAGGAAGGTGTTCAGCAGTCTTTCCTTGATGCACGTGCAGATCCGAGCGAACCCGGATCCCCAATACACATCGAATCTCAAGAAACCGAACCCCAATTTCCGGATGCTGGTTCACTACCCCCTGTTCCAGAAGATGATGAATTAGATGTAGGGATCAGACCGGATTTCTTTGATGAAGACCAATCCGAAGGTGAAGATGCGCTTGAAGAGTTGAGTAGGTCCGCTAGCTCCGTTTCACGTCCGTTCCCTGACACAGGAAATGAGCATAGTCGCAATGTGAGGCCCCGTGTCGCCGAACCGGAGAGTGAACGCGGTACCTCATTGCAACCATCCCGCAGGGAGTCCACGAGTGCTCCACATGCATGGCCTAATGTGTATGATCATTTGAACGACTTGCCAGCTTCTCTTCGAGAACATTTTGAGAGAGCACGCCAGAGAGACGGAGAGCTACCAGAGCAAGATCGAGAAGAAGCACATGCCATGTGGACTAGTTTTCTTGCCCAGACTGAGGATGAAGCAGAGCTAGGTAAGAAGGTTCTAAAGAGCATTCACTATGAATCTGCGCCTCCAGAAGTGCAGAAAGCCCTGCAGGAAACAAGGCAAAAGGAATGGTCCAAATTTGAAGATTTCGGAGCAGTAGTGGCATTGACCCCAGAACAAGCGCAAGAGCTCATTGACGAAGGGCACCAATGCATTCCATCCAAATGGGTGGATGTAGACAAGGCAGAGTACAAGAAGGGGAGAGACCCTGACTACAAGCCCATGTATAAAAGCAGACTAGTTTCGTGCGGGAACTTTGAAATGACAGAGGGTTTGAGGTCAGATAGTCCAACGGCCGATGTCGAGATGCACTGTCTCGTCTGCAGTTGGGCAGCCTGTCATCAGGCCGACATCCATTCAGCTGATATCACCTCGGCGTATTTCCAGGGACGACCATTGGATCGCGTCCTTCTCATGCGTCAGCCAAGAGGAGGTTTGCCAGGTGTAGAACCCAATGTCCTTTTTCTCGTGAGGGTCCCTGTATACGGAATCACGGACTCAGGAAGAGGCTTTTGGCTGCGTTTGGATGCCGATGCACGTAAGAGCGGCCTGAAGGCAAGCCAGTTTTTCCCAGGATTGTACTACCTCCCAGGTGAGCAGGGAGGAGATGCTTGTGCCCTTATGTGCACTCACGTGGACGACTTGCTTTATAGTTTTCTTCCGGAAGGCGAGGAAGTGATGAAGTCTTTTCTTGCCAAGTTCAGTGTCGGCAGCTCAGACACTAACAGCTTTCGATACTGTGGGAAGCAGTTTGTGCGAGGAGATGACAAGGTCATCAAAGTCGACACAACAGATAACACAAGGAAGATTCGTGGAGCAGATGTTGGGTCTAGGCTAGGCAGTGAACGCCTCCAGCAAGGAGACATCACGAAGCTCAGATCGATCACCGGATCGCTCGCCTGGATCTCGAGACAGACCAGGCCTGACCTTGGTTACAGGGTAAGCCGTTTGCAGTCTAGCATTAAAGATGCAACTGTGTCCACGTTGGCAGACGCTAACGCAGTCGTTGTCCTGGCACACAAAGGTCACGATGTGGCATTGTGTTTTCCTGCGGCTCATCTCCAATGGAGTGAAGTTGGTGTGATCACGGTCACAGATGCCTCCTTCTCCAACGAGAAGAACTACAAGTCGCAACAGGGCAGGATCCATTTTCTGGGTGATCTCAAGGAGATCAAGGATGACAAGACGACCACCTATAAGGTGATGCCATTGTCTTTTGGATCCACGACAATTAAGAGAGTCTGCCGCAGCACTCTCCAGGCCCCGAAACGTATTCCCTCCAGAACGGACTCGAGACAGGTGACAAGCTGAGAGGTGTGATTGCGGAGATTAAGGGTAAGATTCGCAGTCTGAAGACATGGGAAGATGATGCCCGTGAATGCATTCCGCATTTGGCGATGACTGATTGCCGTTCGCTTTCTGACCACCTCAATCAGGAAGTCCTGGCCAAGGTGAGTGACAAGCGCCTTGGTATCGAGTTGCAAGGAATCCATGAGAATTTGTGGCAAGAAGGAAGACCAACATGGATTGCTTTCGAGAATGGAGGAGACAAGTTGATCTGGATTGCCACCAGTACGATGGTGTCGGACTGTTTGACGAAGTCCATGAAGCCAGATCTGCTACTTCGAGTGCTGAAGGAGTGCCACTACACTGTACAGAAGCAGAAGTAGATTTCTCCAATGCCTTAGGAAGACACAAGAGTTTCAATGTATAGCCGTGTGACACCTGTAGAACAGGTTGAGTGTGAATTTGAGGTAGGATCTCATTCTGTTGAGCCAGGTTGTCACACTATGTTGTGTCTGCCGCCGTTTGGCTCCTAGGGCCCTTGAGCTATACCGTGCTCGCTTTCGCAGTGAAAAGAGCGTGTGGACAGTACGATTCCGGTTGCTACCGACATTGGGATTCCGCCCTCCACAAGATGTTTGGGAGCTTGGGCCGCCTTGTGGGCCAGGAGATCGTCCGCTTCATGTTTCGGGATGAGATTGCAGAGAAGCAGAGACAAGCGATCCTGGATGACGTAGTTAATGAAGACCTCAACCGTGGTGATGAAAATGGGCGTGCTTGTCACCAGTCTCCGAAGGCTCGGCCCGATTCTGTAAATGCGTTCAACCACACGAATGATGACGAGGAAATGCTGGAGAGCAGAAGGTGTTCGCCACTAGTGAAGCCTCACATCTACGCTGAGATCTTGAAACTCCGAAATGATCTCGGCTATAAGGAGCTTTCGGTGGAGCTTGGGTAGATTACACGCCAAGGAGAAATCCCGGGCGTCTGCGCGCCCGAAAAAGGTGGCTTCGCGCCTGAGCAACCTCGCACCTTGGTGTTTCGAAAAGTTGAAAGAGATGTTTTAGTCCAACTTTTCGAACAGGGCCGCGTGAACAGAGCCGCTTTGCCACCCGCGGAACTGGGATCACTCCAATCGCACGGACTGAGACAAAACCTGGCCCACCGTGAAGTTGGACCGACCTGTCTCCCCAAAAGCACCGATGAGGAACCTGCGCCGTGCTGCGGCCATCCTGGATGCGCGCTCGGTACCTTTAGTCCTCAACCAGGCGTACGGGCGCCAGCAGATGAATCCGATGCACCATGGGAGGACCAATCCATCCATCGGTCGTTCATTATCTAGCTACCCCCCGAGGCTTGCATACAACACCTGAGTCAACTGAGTCAACTGGTCTTGGGAGGCGCATGGAGGCGCACACTATGGGTATCTATTTGGTTTGCGAACACCTACTTTCCCCCGATCCCCGGAATTCGATCGCCGGAATTCGTCCCCGTTGATCCCACGATCGGAGACCCGGAGGTGCAGTACTCGCTGCTGTCGCCCGAGCGGGAGTCTGGAGTGGCGGAGGTCTGCCAAGAGCTGGGTGCCGTGGTCGGCGCAGCGGTTCGAGCGGGAGCGTTGTTGATGGCCGACCTAGCTGCTAAAGATACCTCAAGATGCGCCGTAGTTCGGCCAGGATTTGGAGCAGCCAAAACACCACGCCATCCGTTGTGTGAGCATAAGGGGGTTCAGAACAGCACTATAGTTTCTATATGCTTTAGTATGTCTTGGCTACGACACCTTGCAACTCCAAGGGAAGGGATCCAGCGGGCCTCAAAACCCAGCGGCCAGTCCGGGCGGCTATTGCAGGTCTACTCGATTCCAGCAGGATGATCGTGATTTGGTGGAAGTGTTGGGCCCAAAAAAGGTCAGCGCTGCAGAACTGACCGAACTCCCTCATTCAGCAGTCTTTCCTGTGGATATGATTGGGTATTTCCTCATTTCGGGGTGCCGCAACTTTGTAGCTCACGGGCCCAGGAGTGCCGCTTGTGGCCTACAGCCCTTTGTGTTTGGGTTTGCTGGCGGGGCGGTACCAGGCAAGCGAGCCCACCACTTCGCAGATGTGAACGTCCGCCGTCACAAGCAGCGACCGCTGATCTTAGCTGGGTTTCATCAACTTGCTCAATGTATTTGCAGCAGTTGATTGGCCTGTTTAAGCCTGCCCCACGCCCGCCGAACACGACGCAGTTCAGGCGGATGGACGGAAACCAGAGAGCTTTCTGCGGTCCTTCCTCTTCTCCTCCTTGCTCTCCAATGCAGAGACTCAGCACCTCGGAACTGCCCCATGAGCACCCGATGCCGCAATGATAAAAAACACTTTCCTGAAGATCGGGAAAAACACATCCCTGAAACCGTGGATATGTCGTGACCATCATTTTACTGTATATTATATATTCGCCATTTGCCACTTGCTTCATCTTTGGGGCGGAAGCATTGCTCCGACATCCTGGCCGTTTCGCCAAGGAAGCTCTTGTCCCTGCTGAAGGAGATTGGTGATTGCAGAAGCAAGACCATGGCACAGGTGCGCGGTGATTTGTCCAAAGCCCAGTGTCGGCATGGCGTTAACCGTTATCCCCAAGATGCTCATCTTTTGGCGACTCAAATCTTCAACCAATTGTTCGAGACACTCGCCCAAACCGCGCTGCCGGCGTCGCCAGGTCGCCCTGAACTTTGCCTTGACCGAGGGTCAAGGCTGCGCCATCGTTGGGGCACGAAACAAGCAACAGGTCCTGGAGATGCTTGGTGTAGAGGCTGTAGAGGGTGGATGGGCTGGCTTTCAAGTCCCGAAAGATGGGGTCTTTAACAGGTCGAGCACGCAGCTCGCGTGCCTCAAATGTTCAATGAGGGGTCCAAAAAGGCTTCCGAGCACAAGACGTTGACAAACTCTATTCTTTGGAGCCACCACTCAGGATCAAACTCCACTCGCCCGCTTTGTCCATGGATTGGAGGAGATTCGAGGTTGGTGGTGGTTGATAGCCTTTTTTTCTGTTGATGTGGGTCAGTTTGTCCATGGCATCCTGGACCTTCTTCGGTTGGTCTCAATTGGTCAGCCTCCGGTTTTTGGTTCCTGGTCTCCTTTTGCCCGCAAGCACCGCGCACCGCCTTCTTGTCCTCCGACCTCGACCTCTCTGCAGAGCTGTTCCCCCCAAGGAACCTGGGTGCCTGTGGCTGGAGTCTGAATGACAACGAAGTGTCGGCCCTCCAAGCGGCGGCAAGACGAGCACCAAAGACCCAGTGACGTGACGGACATGGCCTGGAGACATGTCGGGGGGCAGAGCAAGTGGGGTGTTTTTCATGGTGTGTCAGATTTGGTTGCAATTGGTGTATAATGGTGTATAATGGTGTGTAATTCATTTTTGTCTCTGACACTCGTTCATTGGGAAAGACGACCGGTCTTTTGGTCTTTTGACGCATGTTTTTGTTAGGGGGGGTTCCTTTGAGGGACTGGACTCCGGCCGCAGCATGTGCCGCTGTGGGGCAGTCACCATGCAGGCAGTCACCGGATTGTTTGTTCTCCGTTGGATCCAGTCAAGGAAGAATCCCTTCTTCTCGGACTGAGCTGCGGTGCCTCGCGCGAGTGAAAACGGAGCGGCCCGGAGCCAGGAAGACCAGCGGAGAGGGCGGAGGGGCACGGTCTCCAAAGCCCGGGGAGTGACAGTGAACTTCAGCGCCCATCAATGTTCAAAGCAAGTGACTACAGTATATCAAAATCAACAATGGTCATGCTTAGTTTTTTAAATCACAGCCTTTGTTCCAAATTATCACCTCGCCTCTTCTAATTTTCATCAGTCTTTGCTCCAGCACCAGCTGGATTATTTTTCTTCAATGTGGCTGTAGGGAGCTGCGGACATGAAGTAGGAACGCCATCAAGACCTCGTAGAAAACGTATGGCCCATCAGGAAGCTGTCCTAGAATGTCGCAAGCAGGTTGCATCCTACTCATCCTCCGCTCCTTGCAGCGGCGAATTGGATCCAATGCTGATGACAATTGACAAATTGCAATCCTTGTTGCGAGGTGGGCAGGTTTTCCCACTTTTATTCAACAGCCGGGTTGATCGAACGGACAGCCATGCCGGCCTCACTACCACTTCGGCGCATTCTTTCCCGTATCCGGTCACCATCATCATCCACCAGAGTGAAGCCAGCGTACCCAACCTAGCCAGAGGGTCACCCACCACCTTCTCTTCTGGTTTCACCCAGGCGGGCTTTAAGTCAAGAGCACGCCGCGCACACAGCGAGTTGTTCTTTTTTTGGAGGGGGGCTGTGGCTTTCAAGCGGGCCAGGTGGGGCACGGAGGGGCCAAATCGACGCACCCAAAGGTGATCTTCTCAATCGGGTTCTATATCCGATGTTGAATGCAAGATCTACATGTTGGACTGCGCCGATCGGAGCGGGCGGTCGCTACATCGCAACCCATCGAATCCTTTGGAACCTACCTCGACCGTCCAAGGGTCCAATAGACTTCCCTAGAATCCTTGTGGGCTGACACCCCTTGGATGGTCCTAGTATGTCTTGATGCAGAAACGGATCATGCTCTTCATGGCCAGGTTTCCTTCAGACCCCCAGGCCGTGACCACTTTTGGGAGACTCGGGCCCGCTTCTCTCGGAGGTCCGGTCTCGATGTGCGGTGGTTTTTTTGGGGACCAAAGAATGGCCCGATGGTTGAAGAACCATAAGATCATTGCAATTTGCGGACGACCTATCCATGCTGGTATAGGGCAGGATGGCTTGCTGTCAACTTGTTGCAAGGCCACAGAGTACATCCCTTGCTGATCCCCTGAGAGAGATCAAGTGCAAGTCATTAACGCAAAGGAGGCCAGATAGGGGACACCAGGGCCTGTGAACTGACAGCATTCGTCAGAGTGACTTTCGACCTCACGCCCATGACATGGCCATTTCTCACGGTCTTGGCGTTTGGGCTCGCAGTAAGGGTGAGCGATCCTCGACTTTTCCAGCTAGCTAGCCCCCCCCAAAACTGGAGATGTCGAAGTCGACATCGTTCGAACGCATCGACATCAAGCTCCGCTTCCAGCGTCCGCCCCAGTTTCAAGCAGATCACCTGCAGCAGATGTTTCTCCACACCAAACAGACGACACGTCCACTAGCCGAAAAAGGCCTCCAACACTGACCGTTTGGTCCCAGAATCCAATCTCGCCCAGAGGGGTGGGCGCCCAGACTGGACGCCATGGGTGTGGCAGGAGCGCAATTGGGGGTTGCCACGTGCGCCCGAGCAATGCTCAATGCCCAGTGGTTGGGAGACAATTCCTGACTTGGGAGGGGACAAAGCTTTGATGCTAAACCTCTTTTCAGGGGAGAGGGACAAGCTTACCCAAGAGTCTTGTGTGGTTCCGGTTGCATCTTCAGCCTCCGTCCGATGCTGCCAACGGTCCGATGCAGCATTTACACCATGGCTGGCTGAGTCCGGCGGTTTGGCCCCGGAAGAGTGACGTTCAAGTGACGAAAGACGAAGGGCTCGCGATGCAAGCTCCATCGGCCAGACCCACAGACCAGACTCCACAGATCATGCCAACGGCTTTGATATACATATATATGTATATGGGAGGTTTGATCAATGTACCTCCATTCACCTTTTCCTCCAAGACCATGGGCACATTGGCTGGGGAGGTGGGGAGGTGATCCTTCAGACATCTTCCAAAAGGGCGCTCGCACCCCGATGGCGTTGAGTTCTTGCTGCCCCATTGATGGGGCGCCCGACAGGAAGCAGCTGCTGCCAGCACCCCCAGAAGCACCCGGACGTGACCGAGTCGCTCCAGAACCCTCCTGATGATGATGAGCAAGGGGTGTTGGTCATGGCCTCTCGCCGGACAGGGGTGAAAAGGGGCACCTGAAAAACGCCATGGGTGGGCAGAAGGTGCGCACTGGGTGGGCAGGGGTGCTTGGTCCCCAGCAAGCATGATCGGCATGATTGCCATGTTCCAGCTTTACTTTTGGCTGTATGATGTGTGACACATCCCCGAGACAAGTTCAGGATCCTTTATGGCAGGTGTTTGGGCCGCTCGTCACAACCAGTCTGGCTTCAGCCATATAAATCCCGATGTCATTCATGTTCATTCCTTACTGATCCTTCACCGCGATCCCAAAACCTTCAGGTGTCTTGGACACTTGGGGGCTTCTCTTGAAGACCTGACCTTTACTTACTAGGGCGGAAAAGGATCTAGCCTGGGACCAGCTGTGGCAGAACCATTGCAGAAGACGTCCCAGGAAGGGGACGTGGAGGCTGACCGCCGACGCGGAGATGCACGAAAAGGTGGGGTCGAGCTGCGCTGCGCGGGGGAGGCATTTCGCCAGGTTCGGAAAGGCCATTCTTGCCCTAACATGTGCCACCAAACGCCAGACTGGACGGTTCCAAACCTGGGGCAGAGTGGGACAAGCAGGTCTCCAACTTCGAAAGCTGCGGACGCAGGGCTAGATGATGCTAGATGTAAGGAGACTTGATGCCGAGAGTCTCAGCTTCCGAAATGGGCGATGAGATGATTAGAGTGCCCAGGCCCAGGTTGTTTGGGTTCTCTGTGTCCAGGTTGAGCCAGGGAGCCATTGTGTTCTGGTGCCTAAGCCAACATCTTTTCTTACAGGTGACTCTCTACCTGACTTAGGGTTCCGACAAGAACGATGGCAGCGGTTTTGGTCTTCGGGATGGAAGTCCCAAGCGCCAAGTTGCTTGGGAGCTAGGCAGACAAGCATCTGGAGCCTCGTCTTGACAGTTGTTGGGTTAGGGCCAGTAGTGTGAATATGCGCTTCAACTCGATTCTGCGTGGAAAATGCTCTGGCTTCAGCCCACCGCAGCATTTCTTTCAGCGATGATATGACGGAGGCTTCCCACAGGTTGAGGATCCATGTCTGTTTGCCCAGCGGATGCAGCACAAGCCTATCAGCATCTACCACCCAGAGACTCTTTGAGTTGAAGCTGGCTGCCCAGGAGATCTTCGGAGTCAAATTCTTGCGCTTGGTGGCTGATGGGCGTCTTCTGGATCTGAGGCACACGGTCCAGGAAGCCCAACTCTGTGATGGTGAGACCCTGACGGCCATCCAGCAGCTGCCGCAGCTCGCCAGGACTGCCAAGGCCTTCGCCCTATGGTGCGCCGGTGGCGGCGCACTCGCGTGGGGCGCGCCGGACTTCGGAGGCCGTCCCAGCCGCGCGGTGCAGGAGTTGCTCCAGGAAGGGCCAGCAGTGCAAGAGATCCGGGCCACGGAGGCGGCGTTCTGCGCGTTGTTGGCGGACGGTCGCGTGGTGACCTGGGGAGATGCCGCCTTTGGAGGCGACAGCCGAGAGGCGCAGGAGTTGGCTGCTGGACGCGTGCGTCAGATTGGCGCCAACTCTCGGGCCTTTGTGGGAATTTTGGCCGATGGACGTGCGGTGACCTGGGGGAATCCGTGCTGTGGAGGGGACAGCAGGAGCGTTCACGATCGCCTGACAGATGTGCAGCAAATTGCGGCAGCTAGCCATGCGTTCGCAGCGGTCCTCATGGATGGTTCTGTGGTCTCCTGGGGAAATGCCGACCTTGGAGGTGACAGCAGCATGGTCCAAGACCAACTGAGACATGTACAGAAGCTAACGGCTTCGGACTGCGCGTTTGCCGCTCTCCCAAGATCGACCGATGCACTTTGCGCGTCGCTGCACCGAGTGAATATAGACAGCTCTTTTTAAAAGATTTTGTCGACAAGCCAAAGCACATAGCTGCCGACTTGGCCCTGCGATCTCCTCAGATTCAGGCCAGTAGTTTGACAGGAGGTCAGTGGTCCCAACAGCTTGCAGGAAAGCATTCTTTGATTGTAGGATTTTTGAAGCTCCCGCGCAAGGAGGCTGAAATCCTGTTGAAAGACAATGGTTCCAAAGGAGTTTTCACAAACATCCTTGAAACCGCACCAGCACGAAAGCCTATCACTTGGTTTTCGAGAGCTAAAGAAGAAAGCTCTGAGGCCTATTTTCATAGGTGTGTGCAAACAGCCAAGAAACGTAACACAGCTCTGTTTTACAAGAAAAGTGGCTCCAACAACTTGGGCACCGTCCCAACCAAAGAAGAGGAGGCAGAAGTTCACAGAACTACCTTCCTTGGTCGTGGCATGCCGAGCACTTGGGAGGGGGAGGAGCTTATTTCTTTTCTTGAACAACAAGGTTGGAAAGAAATTGAGACCATTACCAAAAGGTTCCATAGCAAGAAGCCTGAGTGGCGGTTCCTTGCCAAGGCCCCGCAAGCCGACTTGAATTGCTACAATTACGATATCGAAGAAGATATGACAATCACCTTTGTCAAAGCACCCACAAAGCCAGCCAAGGCTGTGTGGGAAAAGTCATTACGAGGCGTTCCTCGCAATTGGCACCAAGGCAATTCCACTGATTCGTCTTCCGTTCGAGGACCTCAGCTGCCTGCGACCGCCGGAAAGGCTCGGACAGTGATCAATGAAGGGACTGAGCCCAGCGAACGAGAACGTAGCCCTCGACGATTCCAAGGAAGTACTTCCAATGAACCCAAGATCGATGGCAACCATCGATGCCCAACCAACCCGGACGAAGCATGCAAACAGGGTTGGTCCCTTGCCGATTATGGAGGCAATGGTGATTGCTGTTTCCGAGCAGTGGCCGGCGCCCAAGCCTGGGCACAGCAGTCCGGAAACATGTCCAAAGACGCTGCGCGCTTGGCCGGAGCTCAACTGCGTATGCTGGCCATGAAGCACGCTCGCAAGCACCAAGACCGACTTCGAGCATTTTGGGCTTTGGACACAGAAGAAACCACTTCTGAACGCGGCGGCCGTAAGGCCCCTGAAACTCTCCAAGACTGGATTGAAAACATGGAAAAGCAACAAACTTACGTTGATGGTTTGGCCCTCCAATGTTTGTCCGAAAAGACCGGTTTGTGCCTTATCATTTTTCGAAAAGACAGCGATGGATGGGTGCGATTTGTGTTCGCGCCTAAGTTTTCCTATACTCATCAACCTCAGGGTGTTGCTTGTGGTAGGAAGGGGGGCTAGCCCCGCTGTCCTTGTGCTCGAAAATAAACATTATACTGCATTGCTCCCTGGGGCTCACGTTGAGGTCCCAACGCCCTGGCTGTTTGAAACGCAAAACAAGCAAGCTGACTTCAGCGGAGCGGGAGAGGTTTCCTCCGAACCCTCCACTCCGTCTGCTCACACTTTGTGTGCCGATGAGCCTGACACACCCTCAGTGCATACCATCCGTCAGGACCCTGCAGGTCCACTGCGGATGCACGTTGTCGGAACGACCGAAAACAGTTTCTCTTCGTTCTCTCCAAAGACAGGTTCTGAAAAGAGTCCAGCAACCCGTGATGCGCTCCGCGACCGCGCGCCAAGCTTTCGTACCCAGCTCACTAACCGCAGTCGGGCCGCAACGATTCGATCTACTGCTGCTCCGGCTGCTGACGTGAATGACTCTGGTGAGCCACAGTTAGCTAAAGCTCATAATGTTCCTGATCAGTACACATGGACTTGCAATTTGTGTTGCCAAGTGTTGCGAAATCGACTCAAGCGATCCCTGGCCTGTTCCAGGCGGCGTCACATTGCAAAATCTCATCCTGGAAAGGCCCGACTGGTCCGACCAGCTTTCAAACAGCACGCTCAGCTGGCCTCAGCCAGCTCAGCGATCCCCGTTTCACAGCGTGCGTGGGAATGTCCCAAGTGCCACCAGGGCTTGCCCTGGATGCCAAAAACAGCTTTGCGAGCAAGCCAGCTGGCCCATGAAAAAGCTTGCTACAATCTGTCTGCCAGACAAATGCGGAAACGCTGCTATAAGCGTGCGTCTTGGCAAGCCAAGCATCAGAAGCTCCAAGAGCAAAACGCAGCCGCAAAGCGTGGCAAGACAGATGAGGCCATTCGCATTTACAACCAAACTGGCCCCGGGTTTTGTTTTCGAATTCCCGCTGCACGCTTCGGTCATAAGCAGGATCACTTCAGCTGCGCTCGTTGTACCTTAGTTGCCCAGAAGTGGAAAGACATCCGCCTTCACCGCTGTACAGGTCCCGAGAGCCGTCAGAAGGTCATGCAGAGTCCTTCGCGCCGGGGGTTTTGGAAGCGCAAGCGCCAACTCAATCCTGATGTTGTTTCATTTTTGATAGAAAATTGGCAAATGACTGAACCTGAGTTGATGTCTCTTGAGAAAACGTTGGACGCCAAGAAAGCCAAAAAGGGTTTTTGTCCTCCACCCAATAGTGTTTCCCTCCGTCGCTTGTGCGCGCCGGCTTCCGAGTGGATTAAAGACCTTACAGCCGATGGGGACGTACATCCCCAGCCAGGGCCACAAGCCACTCGCGGTCCTCAAAGCATGTCTATTGCCATGATTAATGCTGATGGAGCAAACAATGCATGGGCTGTGTGCCGATGGGCTGTTGTTCACCGGCCGTCCGTAGTCATCATGCAAGAGATTTGTATGCCGCCTGACAAGCAAAGTGACATTGCCCAGTTTCTGTCCAGGCACGGCTATAGAAGCTGGTTCGCTGTTCCCCAACCGGTCCTTTCTCGTAGTGGTTGCGCACAAACCTTTGGGGGGGTCGCTATCCTCGTCCGCCACGACAAGCCTGCCCACTTGGTGCAAACCCACATTCGACCAGATGGGCAAGCCCTGATGTTGCAACTTGCTCATGCCTTGGTGGTTGGTGTCTACTTAGCTCCCAGGTCCATGAACAGTGATATCCTGCCCACTCTAGACGAGTGGGCTGCTGCTGCAAAAGCTCGCTGCCCTATTTGTTATTTCGGTGATTTTAACCAGTTGCCGTCTTTTGGACAGCGATGGAGTGACCTGCACGGCTTTGGCGCAGTGAGAGCAGTACATAACTCGGAGGGTCAAGAATGCCCCACGCGATGGGACGGTCAGAGATGCATTGACTGGATCTGGACCTCGCATCCCCTGATGCTTCACAACCTAGGTTTTGAAGCTACAAAGTTCTCTGATCACAAAATGATCCAATGTTCTTTGAGCTACCAACAGGAAACTGTCCAGTCCTTCAAAGTTATCCAAACCCGTAAACTTGCACCATCCCCTGAGGTGACCAGAGAGATGTGGCAAACTGCACTCAAAGAAGTCTGGGCTTCAGCTTCAGTGCCCCCCAGCACGAGCACTGACGAGGAATGGGAGGCTTTCTGCACTTTAGCTGAAAATGCACAAGTGAACGCAATGCTTGCGTGTGGATGTAAAATTCCCAAGCCCAAACACAAGCGACCTAAGGGCACAGACATCCAGGTGCAACCTGCTGAGTCAAAATCCTTTCGGTGGACACAAGAAGCCAGTTTTCGAGAGCTTCGCCTCCGCAAGCTGCTTGGCCGCGCCACTGAAGCGCTGTCGCAAGTTCAAAAAGGCAAATCAGTCCCTCACCGCCTCCAGCAGCGCATCTGGACGCATGTGTGGGTTTGCAAGAATAAGTTTCAGACTTTACAACAAATCCAAACTTGGTGCCAGAGTGAGCTTCAAATTTGCTTAAAAGAGGCACAGCAACAGCGGCTGACTCACTGGAGAGATAATATGCGTTCCACGGTCAAAAATGCAAGCAAGTGGATTAAAAAGACCAATTGTTTGCCTGTCACCTCAGTTTTCGATCCTGGCTTTCGCAACGGGGCTGCAACAGCCACGAGCCAGGAGTCCTTGGAAGCCGTTTTGGCATTTTGGCAAACTGTTTGGAACAGGGACAGGCCTGATCCTGAAGAAGCCTTTGAGTTTTGGCACGAAGGCATGCCTCCGTCTCAGTCATTTGCTTGGACGCCCATCGCCGCTGAGGAACTCCTCACCCAAGCCAAAAGACAAGATGGCAGTGCCGCTGGCGTTGATGGCTGGAGCGGCAGTGAAATTTCCAGCTGGCCACTCGAAGCTTGGAACATTTTTGCCGTTTTGTTGTCTCGGTGGTTTGCCCGCCAAGAAATGCCTCGTTGCTTTAGTAAGGTGCGACAATGTTTGCTCCAAAAACCAAATGCAAAACTTCGATCCACAGATGGCGCCATCGGTGCAAAAGACTTGAGACCGATTTCAGTGCAGTCCTGCTTGTGGCGAGTGGTCGCCTCGGCATGGACTCGACGTCCAGAAACCCGTGCATGGGTCAAATCCTGGGCCCATAGGACGGCGTGTGGAGGCTTGGAAGGCAGAGGTGTGGCCGAGGCTATCGACACTTTGCTGCGAGAGTTCGAAAAGCCAAACGGCGGAGTGCTGGTAAGCCTTGATTATGCTAAGTGCTTCGACACCATTAACCCTGCATTTGCTTTGCGGTGTCTCGAACACGTTGGCTGTCCAAAGGAAATTTTGGCCGCCTTGCAAATGGTCTGGAAGCAAGAACGGTGGCTTTGTTTTCAGGGCGACATTTTGCCCAAATCAGTCGACGTCTCCACGTCCATTCCCCAGGGAGACGCCCTTTCCCCTCTGACTTTGCTGGCCGTGATGGCTGGATTGACTGGTCGAGTGCTGCAAAAAGAGGGAAACCACACACTGGTGACATTTCTAGACGATCGGAACTTCGTGACCAAAACCCCTGAGCGAGCCGCTCAGCTGTGGGAGACTTGGAAAGACATGTCAGCCAAAGTCGGTCTGCAAGAAAATAATTCTAAGGTTCAAGTAGTTCCTCGCAAGGCTGCCTTCCGGACTCGCCTTGAGCAGGCGGGGTTTCCCACCAATAGCGTCGTACCCTCTGCGCGAGTGCTCGGAGTGGACTTCACTGCCCGCCTTGGGGCAGTCCATCGACCTACCCAAGACCAACGTGTCAGTGATGCTGCTCAGAGGATCGCCCGCATCGATCTGTTGCCTTTACCTTATGAGCGTAAAGCCTTCCTAATCAAGTGTGTTGCAATCCCCAAGGCTATCTGGGGGGCATGGAACTCCACAGTTCCTTGTAAAAAGCTCTCCCTCCGCCTTAAGAAAGCTGCCGGTGGAGGCCATGTTGCGGCTGCAAACAATCTTTTTTCCATGTTGACTGGACACGGACTCAGCACCGAATTTTGCGCGGGTTTTCATGCCTTTTTGCATTTAGCTAAACAAGTCAGGAAATCCCCGAGGCCTTGGCCTCGCAAAGCCAGCAGAGGAACCTGGTTGGGCACCGTGAGACGGTGGCTTTCTTCGCTTGGATGGCACGAGCAAGGAGCATGGAAATGGTTCCATCCTTCTGTTAATCACACGATTGATTTTGATGCACAGGTCCAAACCAACGATAAGCTCGAGCATCACCAGCTCCGAGAAAGCTGGAGACGCAGACAGTTTCGTTTGTTTCTTGCCACTCCCAGGCGAGATGCTCAAATGCTTCAAGAAGCTCAATACAATGAAGCTCGGGTCACCCTTGCTCGTAAGACGTTCCAAGGGTCCAACACTCACGCCAGAGCGTGCATGATGGGCGCGGTCGTGTCCGACGCTCGTTTCGCTCGCATTTCGAACCCACAGGCACCTGTGCTTCCTTGCCAATGGTGTTCTTCGGAAGCCGCGCCCACGTGGCGCCACATGTGTTGGGAATGTGAAGGTTTCTCAAATACCAGAACCTTCGAGCCCAGTGATCTCTTTCAGCAAATTCTGGGATGGCCCATGGGCATAAACCACGAATACGATGCCGCTGTGCTAGCACATTTGGCCGATGTGCGCAGACGTCTGCTTGACCGGCGCTATCGCGCCATCTAGCGCATACCTGTGGCGTCGCTAAGGTGGATGGGTCTACTTGGCCGTCTACCTTGTCAAACCAAGATCGAACGTTTGCCGCTCTCCTGTCGAACGGCTCGGTCGTGACTTGGGGAGATGCAGAGTTTGGCGGTGACAGCCACGAGGTTCAGCATCAACTGAAGGATGTGCTGGCCATCTATGCCTCGGAGTGTGCGTTCGCGGCCCTCTTAGCCGATGCGTCCGTGGTGACGTGGGGTGACCCAGAACTGGGAGGTGACAGCTGTGACGTGAAGGATGAGCTGAACGACGTGCGCGAGATCGAGGCGACGCGGAACGCTTTTGCCGCCCTCTGCGCGGAGGGACGGGTGGTGACCTGGGGGAATCCACATGGTGGAGGTGATAGCAGCAAGGTTCGAGATCAGCTCCAAGATGTACAGCAAATCAAGGGCTTTGAGTTTGGTTTCGCTGCCATTTCTGCAGGACATCTGGTGACCTGGGGTCAATTGTCCCTCCCTACTTGGACCAGTGCACGCAATTTGTTTCAGTCAATTGTTCTTTTCCTGGCACATGGATGCGACTAAGCAAAGCTTGAACATCCTTAAGGAAACACTTCTCTCCTATTTATACTGGAAAATGACCTAAGGACCGGTCATTTCCACACTCAAGCTGAAGGAACAGACGTCCACAGGCCAGGTCCCACCTCCCAAATTAGCATACCAAATTGCGCCAAAAGAAGGGGTTTGGAGGAGGATTTTTCTCTGAGAATGGATGAATCCACTCATTCTTCTCATTGGAGTGATTAGCATAGCAATAGCCAATCGACTCATTGGGGTTTCTACTTCATCCAATGGGTCGATTTGTGGGTCGAACCTGGGCGAAGTCCTGAGGCCCGCCAGACCTCCAGCGGCTCGCTTTTGCGGGGTCGCAAGCATTTGCGGCAGTGTTGGCCGATGGATCTCTAGTGACATGGGGGGATGCTGAATGTGGAGGAGACAGCATCAGCTGAGATTCCTATGAATTCCAGCGAGACATGCAGCCGCCTCAATGCCTGAATGCCCGGGCTGCCCTCTGTACTTTGGGTTGACGAAGCGTTGGAGAGCCCAAAGGCTGCGGCGACAACAAGTGCCGCGAGTCATGGGGTGTGGGCTGTGACAAGACTACTGACTACTCCCTGAAGAGGTCGCGAACAACACCTTCCAAGGCCTTTTGACAGGTTCCATGCTGGATGGCAGTTCGGTCGCACGATCATGATGACCGTCAGTGTGGGTTCAGGCAGTTCGATACGCACAGGACGGATCAAAAAGACCGCGCTTCGTTTTGGCAGTGTAGATCATTGCAAAGCTACGTGCCTTTGGTTTTTGCCCCCCTCTCTCTCTATATGCATATGTTTGTTTGTCTCTCTGTTTGTTTGTTTGTCCGTCCGTCCGTCCCTTTGTTTGTCATCTATCTTATGTAATCATGTAATCCGTTCTTTCTTTGATTCTTTCTTTCTTTCTTGCTTGCTTTCTTTTTTTTCCTCTCTCTCTCTCTAAAAAAGATATTTGTCTAGTCTAATTAATTGTCTTTACGTCATTACGTGGCTGTCAAGTGCGATCGGTCTCTTCGGTATATAACCTTGATTGAAGTATTATTTGCGACCCCCAAGTGGACAGAAACGGGTTTCATCCACTTTTCCATCTTCATGCTGTCCACTACCGAGTGATCAAGGGCTTGTAGTAAGCAGGAAGACTTCATCACAGTCTTTCTGCTTATTGCTTATGGCATCCGGTTTTTCCAGCTCAGCTGGCACCACTCCAGAGACTAAAAACCTATACCCCCAACTACTAAAGGTCTAAGATGGCAACAACATATTAGACCCCAGTTTTGTAGGTAGTCCCAATGAGGTCCCAGGGGTCCCTGTATTGTAGTTGCCGGTATCGAAACCCAACATGCACTGACGTGGACGACTCCCTCGACACCAAACCGCTTGCTGCTTGTGGCCCTGTTTGACTCTACCGGCCCTCTGGGAGATCTCCATGCTCCATGGAGGTCGTCGGGTTCCCCCCCTGCGTCGGGCCGGGGGGCAGGTAACAAGGCTCGCATTGGAGCCCCTTGGCGGGCAATTCATGGTTTGGAGGCTGCGGAGGAGTCCTGAGGTTGGCGCCGGACTCGGCGGAAGAAGTCTGTAAGAAGGTCGAACGAAGATGGCGGTGGTTCAACGCACGAAGGAGGTTGACAGACCTTCCTTTGGTGACCCAGCTTTTGGTGAGTTTGATTGATCTCGAGAGGTCACCCCCTTCTTTATGGCGACGAGTATGCAATTCGGAGGTGTCTTCGCTGGTAGCCACTGGTAGCCCAACTTTGTGGGAACCCATTCCTCTCAAGTGGTGGGCAACCTGACCGAGTAAGACACAGAGGACGGCTGATCAGCCTGGCACGCGTTTTCTCCAGTTCTAGTCGTTGGCCTAATGTAGAATGGGAAGTCTTGGTCGGCACCGACTTGTTTCCACACCAATCCAAGCTGTACACCCCCAAGGCGGGCTGTACACCCCTAAGGCGGGCGAGGATGAGGATGCGACCGAGGACATGCAGGGGCTTTCTTTGGGGAGGGACAGAAAGGGAGGCTGCGAACGTTTCTGCTGTCAAGGCTCAGCAGCTGAGGCGGAGGCCCTTTTTGGATGCTGGATGCAGGCCTTAGCTTGTTCCATGAAGCTAAGCTAGTCCACGAGGTGAAGGTCCTGGGAGAGGTGGAAGCGCATAGAAGTCGTTTTGGCCAAGGTTGTGAAGACTTATGGGGCACAAATCCGCAACATCTCGTCTCTCAGAGCCTTTGGCTTAGACAGATCTTGACCCTCAGCACCTGAGCAGGGGACAAAGACCCTCCAACCCAGCCAGTGGCAGCAAGCCCTCCACACTACTTCAAGTCTGGAGCCGAGATGGTCCCCTAGTAGCGTCCTTGCTCCTAGTAGCGATGCCAGGAGTCCCTAGTAGCGTGTGAGGATATAAGCCTGTTTGGGTGATCTCTATGCCTTTGTTGGGTCCCCACTGACCGGGGCAGTCAGGAAATGAAAGAAACGCACCGGTTCGTGCAGGATGGTTTCTCAGCCAACACATAAAGTCATGAAGAACACATACACACAAACATAATCAAACATGCCTTTCTGTGTATATATGCAAGTGATTACTAGTAGCTAGAAGCTACTATAGTAACAGAAAATGTATTTTTCTTCACGTTTGGAACCTGCAAGCCGCTCTAAGCCCAAAACAGGCAACTTCGGATCCAAAACCATGGACCCGCCATGGCCTTGGCTGCCTCCCTCCGTTGCCCTGGCGCGCTGCCCCCGAGATGGGTGCTTTGGGTGCGCCACGGCCGCGCTGCCGGAGACCGTGGCGCAGCTGGATGTGACGGAGCGGCTTTGGCCACTTGGGCGTGGTCGATCTCCGACCAGGCGGTCGAGGCGGTCGATCTGGGGTGTTGAAGGTGGCTGAAATCTGACATGACATAGGACGCCGTCCTGGACAATAGGATGGAATAGGTAACCTATGGAAAAATAGGTAAACGTCTCCGACAGCTTGGTTTTCGTTGAATTGGTGGCTTGGGAGTCTTCCTTTTTCAATGCGAATCCTCTTATTTGGCATTCATTGCAGCAGCAGCCTGAGGTCTGATGTCAACTTCCAGTAGCGAGGAGGTGAGGGCGCCGTTTGGTGGGTTGCATGTGACGGAGGAGAGGATTGCATATCCGACAGCCGCTATGAGAGTTTTTTCTCACTTTGACTGAGCAGTTTCAGACCCGGAGCCAAATACGGGCTGGGTCGTTGTGTGAAAACAATAACAACAACAGCTTCCATAGCCAGGAACCCCCTGTCGAGACCAAGTCTGTCCCATATCAAGGTCAAGGACCAAGATCAATTTCCAGTGTTATGTCAAATTCGCGGGACATCTCAAACCAGACAAAGCACATGCAAATTCCTACACATAATCATAAACAGCGCAAGATCACGACACTTATTTCCACCGTTCCACCAGCTTATCAGAGGACGTGCAGCGTTTGATTTGCTATGTCCAAGACCGCACGCTAATTACAGCAGTCCTACTGGATGTACACCGTTCGCTACACTGCTATAGTGAGAAAGAATGGAAGCTCAAGAATGAAGCCGTGCAACGTGCTCCTCCAGAGGCCATGTTCCCAATCCATGTTGATCTCTTTTGGGGCGTCTCTAAGAGAAACACCCATTTCGACGTCTGCATGTTTTTGGATCTTGACTTGGAGGGCAAGGCCCTCACGAGCGGAAAGACGGCTAGAACGGTCGCGGCACGCCGGCACGAGTGCCACCCAGTTCGTTCTGAAGCCTATTTCAGCGGGTAACCCCGCTTTCGGTCTTTGGGCTTTCGGTCTCTTGCACCACCAGCCATAGTGGTCCCCAAATAGATAGAACAGTAGATACCCGTGTAGAACATGTCTTGGAAACCGTGCCACTATCTATTTAGGGGATCACCAGCTACAGTCAGCAAAAGTTTGTACACCACTGTAAGCTTTGGCCCCGCTCCTCGAGGTGATCGAGCCCTGCTCCTCGACCGAGCCGGTCGAGCCGGTGGGAGTGGTCAGCGCACCTCCCGGGCTCGGAGCCGAACGGCTGGTGCGAAGGGTGAGCCGCCAGAACTTGCAGGCGACGCAGGATGGAGGTGTTTGGATGGAGAGAATCCAATGGAGAATCCGAGAATCGATGGATAGGAAGATGAATGGAGTGGCAGAGAGGTGGGTTTTGGGAAGTCAAAGGAGGTCTTCTGGCAGGTGGATCCTAAGATTCTGTGAAGTCACGTTGCATTTTGATACGTTTTGTTAAGGACTTTTGAAAAAAGCAGCGGAGAAACTAATTCGTAGCTTACCCGTACATCAATTGAAATAGAAATAAGATAAATACGGTAGATATTATAGTGAAAGAGCTGCCTTTTGGCTAGCGGTCCTATGTGGGACCACCTGATGCCCCCGATGTGGTTCTCCCTGGCAGATTGCTCACCTCAAAGATGTGCACCACGTCACGTCCTGCACACGAAAAACGATTTGTGACGTCTTCCCACAGCCATTCTTGCCACACATTTTAACGTAGAACATGACACCTGAAAATAGAGGCCCTAGAACACAGCCATCTCCAAGACACAGGCTTGTAATTAGCCTGCGGTTGGTCTTCGGCAAAGGGACCTCTTTAGCACGGGATCTGTGCCGCACACTCGTGCAGGTGCCTGGCTCTGCCTTGAAGGGTGCGCGGAGGCGCCACAGAGGGAACCATGAGAAGCTCCATCAGCCTGACTCTCTTGAAGCCTTCACTTCCAGGTCATTCCAGGTCATTGATTTAGATTGTCGAGCTGCCTCCCATGACAGCAAGATGTCGAGATGCCACGGCTCTCACAGCGGCTAAGTCTGTAAGGACTCAGCCGCTGCGCACTCCAGGCAGCGGCTACAGTCCACGCCCATCCGCTCAACAACCATCCATGCGCCGGGTGATGCTGATTGGCTATAAGTGGAAGGGCCTTAATGGCATCCGCAGGGGTCAACGGTCAATGACGCAAAAGATTATGCAATTAATAGTTTGGGTATGGGACACTCACCAAAAGGTGTAGATGTTTGCTGTTCCAATCACCCCATGGCCTTGTGAACAAGAGTTTCCCCAAACAGTTTGCTGTTGGGGTTCCCCCTTAGGAAAAGAGAAGCTGGCCACAGTCTTTGGCTGTGTGCGTGAACGCAGTGTCCGCGCGTTGTCCTCCTGTCGTCCTCTTCTTGTCCTTCTTCTTTGTGTGCATCTTCAGCCGGTCTCCAGACGGTGTCCTTGTCCTCCTCCTCTTGTCCTCTTGTTCTGCTTCTGCCGGTGTTTGCTGGTGTCCAGCTGGGCCGCATGTGAACCCTATGTCCGCCTGTTGTCTTCTTGTTGTTGTCCTCTTCTTGTCCTCCTTTTGTCACCTTGTTGTCCTTCTGCTGGTGTCCAAATGACAGCATGGCAGCATATAAGCATGACAACATGCGAGCGTCCACTACAAAGCAGTGAGGCACCCGCAAGACAACTCCAGAAAGCAACCCCAGAAGCCGATGTCCTCTCGTCCTCCTGTTGTCCTCCTCTTGCGGGGTTCTTTTGGAGGAAGAAAGAAGGTGGCTACAGTGTCAGGCCGCGCCGGCGAGCCCTGTCCGGATGTCCTCTTCTTCTCTCGTCACAATCTTTTCAGTCCTGTCCTCCTCCTCTGCTACTATTGTTACTATTGCCTTCTTGTTGTCCTTCTTCAGGTGCTTGGCCGCGGCTGCCAGCCTATCTTCGGTCGTGCTCCTCCCGTCGTCGCCTTGTCTTTCTCTTGTCCTCTCTTCCTCTTCTCCGCTTGTTCTCCTCTTGGTCTGTTGTCCTTTTGGCGTTGTCCGGTCACAGCTTGTCCTCCTTTCGTCCTCTTGGTGTGTTCGTCTTGCTTTCCTTCCCTCATCCTTTTGTCCTCTGTTGTAATCCTCATGTCCTCCCCTGGTCTTTCTGTTGTCCTGTGTTGTCATGCTGTTCACGTTGTTGCTTTGTGGGCCCGGGGGTGTGGCTGCCCACCACAACAACAATGCTTGCCGACGAAGCTGTTTGGGGTTTATGCTGGCACCATCTTATTCTGGGTATCCTCACATGACTTGGACTTTGGCTGTTGGAGACTGGCGGGGGTTTCCTGTTGCAGTAGTGCTTCGCCTCTTCAAATGGCGGCCGTCCCACACGTCACCGATGGACGGAAAGGCTGTACCCAACTCCAGTGCCGTTGGTTCAGGTCTTAAACATTACCCGTTCACCTGCAGCCGTCCGACCCAGGACAGTTCCTCCTCAGCACCCTTGCGGCCCTTGCTATTGCCCCGGTACTTCACCACGGAGCGGCTCTGGGCGTGGGCACCATATGTTCAGCTATGTTGAAAGTGTGGCGGGGGCCTGAAAAAGCGTGGCTGGCCTCCCCTGAAAAGCGATCACCTTGTTGAATCGTTGCCCTCTTCATTAGAACGGATGGTTTGGAAGACCCATTCGATGGGTTTTGTTGCAGCGGGTGTGTGAAGGGTTGGTGGTCAAAATGATCAACTAGATTTGGGCAGGATATGGAGGACAACAATATTGAGTTGCTATAGATCTTGAGGGCACGCATTGCACCACAATCGACGCAGTGATGCAACAGTCAAGGAGGACTTACAGCACGGACAGGAGAAACACAGTCAGCTGTTTGAACAGCCCTCAAGTCTGATCATTGTTTACTTGCAGACTCCTGCAGTTGAGACTATGACGGAAACACAATATACGCGAATGATCGCAGCTGGATCCGCCTATCCGTCAGGAGCCGGCACGCTCCAGCACCCTGGACTTCGAGTGGGACACCGAGAGCCGGGTGAGCCACCGGGGGAGCGCGGGGCGCAGGTGGCGGGAGAGCCAGTGGGACATAAATGCTAACATGGATGGCAGCCACGCGAGGTCGATCGATTGCGTTCCCAATGCTTCTTGATCAGTTCTTGAGAGGTATTTGTAGGTGATCAGTTGGCCTGCAGATGGCGATCGGATCGATCGGGCAGGGTGAGAGTAAGGTGTGTTTGGTCATTTTCTTGTGAGATGAGGGCAGGGTAGCCCCACTGGCTTTGAGAGGCCCACCGGGTACCAAATGATTGACGTCTCCAACGGCCCATTTCAACCATAATAATCTGGAGCTGACCGCGCCTAAAAACACAGCAGAAGCATCAGCAACTGACTATGCTCGCCTCCATGGGTGCCAAAACCCTTTGTTCATCACCTTGAGATGAGAGGAGTCACCCAAGGAAATGCACAGCAGCCTGAAAACGGACCAAGGCCAACGGGGTTGATGAGTCATCTCAATTGATCCCCAAGGTTTGGCACCTCTCGGCGAGCCGTGTCACGAGTCGGTGCACGGCCGTAGCAGGAGCAACTGCGGCATCACATGGCGCATCAGTTGCAGCAGATCCAGCAACTTCAGCTGCTAGGTTTGGCACACCAGTGCTAGGGCATCAAATACACCAAGATGCAAAATGCGGTTAATGTTGACTCTTGATTAATAAACTCCCCCCCCGCCCCCCCCTCCTCAACAATTGGAGCCTCTAGAATAATACGATACAGAACCAATCAATTGATGAAAATGAAAAGAATCATTACTTAGCTTAAAGAGCTGAGGTAAGTAAAGCAAAGCAAAAGGAAAAGACATGGAATGAAAACAAGTTTACTTAAAGCAACATATTTTTTAAGCTTGAAATCTCTAGACATTATTCTAGGGCCGCCCCCCTAAATAATGTCAGAAAGCTGCTTGCTGGGCTACCCCCTTTGCTTGAATGATTTTTTCAAAACTTTTGAATAAGGGATTTTGTAAAGAAAGTATGCACCGACTTTTGGCAACTTTTGGAAAGCTTGAAGACTAAAGAGTTTAGGTAAGTAAAGCAACGCAAAAGGAAAAGCAAGGGAATGAATACAAGTTTACTTAAAGCAATATATTTTTTACGCTTGAAATCTCTAGACATTATTCTAGGGCCCCCCCCTAAATAATGTCAGAAAGCTGCTTGCTGGACTACCCCCTTTGCTTGAATGATTTTTTTGTTTTTTCAATACTTGTGAATAAGGGATTTTGTAAAGAAAGTGTGCACTGACTTTTGGCAACTTTTTGAAAGCTTGAAGACTAAAGAGCTTAGGTAAGTAAAGCAAAGCAAAAGGAAACGAAAGGGAATACATACAAGTTTACTTAAAGCAAACTCAAAAGGGAAACAGTCAGTAAACTATAACAATTAAACATATTCCACTATCCCTGCCAAAAAAGAACATTATTCTGGGGGCTTTTATTAATCTGTGCAGGAGAAAAACAGTCATTCTTCTGGGGTACTTTATTAATCAGAGGTCAACATTAGATAAAAATGAAAAGACTCCCAGTATCTTCCAGTGGTTAAACTTTAAAGGCATGGGATGTTAAAGGCATGGGCCGTCCACCAGTAGGGTATGAAACTGTTGATTCCGACTCTGATGCCCTTTCCGCAAACCTTTGCGTTCTTTGGGGCGCGGCAAGGCGTGCGCCAAAGTGTGGTTCTTTTTGTTGGAGGCCAACTCCAACGTAGCGACGTAGTCAGTGGGTCAACAGGTGGCTTTGGCAAAAGTGAAGAGCAGTGACGGTTCACTGCTCTGATTTTGCGAAAAGCCTTGTGACCACATCGCGCGACTTCCTCTCGACCTCGACGCTAGGCTGCGGGTTTGACAGTGGTTGACGCCCCCACTGACCTTGCTTTGGACGGTGACGCCCTGGAGGCAGCTTCGGTCACCAGCCCTGACATGGCTCCTTTGGGTGAGGAGGCAGATGCGGCCTTGGCTCAACTCCTGGTGGGCGAAGATACTGCCGCTGGGGCTTTGGCGGTCTTTGGGGCCACAGTGGTGATGCACCTTCAAAGTGACATTCCTGGACACCTGAGACTCCCTGTCGGAAGCGGCAACTCCTGGCAATGTGTTCAGCCTTCTGAGCCTTTCCTCCGGGAAGCCCCGCGCAGCGCCCCCTCATGGAACTGGTGCTGCTACACCGTGAGGGCTGTAGTTTAGCTCCTAGTCCTCCACGGGAATACAACACGTGGGCTGAGGAGCTGACTCGTCTTGACTTTAACGGTTTTTCTTCCCCTCTTGAATTGGAGATGCCGGAGAATCTGTTTCAATTTTCCGTTGCACCTCGACCGTTAGCTGCGGACACCATTCACTGACTGAACCCACCCAAGATCCCGTGACCGGATCGGGTCCTGGGGGCCAGACAGGGTGTGGCATGCCGGGTGAGAGTTTCTGCCTGCCACACCCATTGTTTGGAGCCATTGAATTTTGATTTTGAATCTGAACGGGGGTCAGAGGACCCAAGCATCAAACCAAGCCCCAACGAGGAAAAGGTTCTGCAGATCCTTTGGGGAGCTTGGACGGAATATTTTTTGCTTTTGAGTGCATATCAATAAAAGGACCGGATAACCCCACATGATAAGTTTTACAAATTTCAAATGTATATGAACATCACACGGGAGACGGAGTAGTGAGATGAAAAGTCAAGAACGAAGTGTGAGGAGAGAAGGTATATGATGCGGTTGTGCTAAGACGTGTAGTATAAGTGATGGACGAGGATGAGAATGGGGAGGGAGGAGGTGTGTGTGTGTGTGTGTGTGTGGTAAGATGGCGTGCGTAGTGAGTGGGTGAGTGAGTGAGGTGAGGTGAGGTGATTCTTGTCGTCGCAGCATTTACAATGCACATCCTTGCCGCAGCCATTCCAATGCGATTCGCAGCCTGTCACAACCATTGCTTTGCAAATCACAATGGCAGTAACGCACACAACCGCAGGGGGCCCAGCGGCGACCACGCGCGCCGCAGCCCCTTCTGGAGGCTCTGGGTATCGCGGAGAGAGCGGCGACCACGCGCGCCGCACCACGCGCGCCGCAGTCCCTTCTGGAGGCTCTGGGTCCTGCGCCTGCCACTGCAGAGAGCGAGGGGCCCACCGGCGACCACGCGCGCCGCAGGCCCTTCTGCAGTCTCTGGACACTGCATTGCTTTGCAAATCCCAATGGCAGTAACGCACAGAACCGCAGGGGGCCCAGCGGCGACCACGCGCGCCGCAGTCCCTTCTGCAAACTCTGGGTACTGCGCCTGCCACTGCAAAGAGCGAGGGGCCCAGCGGCGACCACGCGCGCCGCAGGCCCTTCTCAAGGCTCTGGGTACTGCGCCTGCCACAGAGAGCGAGGGGCCCAGCGGCGACCACGCGCGCCGCAGGCCCTTCTGCAGTCTCTAGACACTGCGGAGAGCAGGGGGCCCAGCGGCGACCACGCGCGCCGCAGTCCCTTCTGGAGGCTCTGGCTACTGCGCCTGCCACTGCAAAGAGCGAGGGGCCCAGCGGCGACCACGCGCGCCGCAGGCCCTTATGGAGGCTCTGGGTACTGCGCCTGCCACTGCAGAGAGCGAGGGGCCCAGCGGCGACCATCTGCAGTCTCTGGACACTGCGGAGAGAGCCGGAGTCAGTGATGGAGTGAGTGAGTGAGTGGTGAGATCTTGTGTTGTGTGTGTGTGTGAATGAGTGAGTGAGTGAGTGGACTGAGTGAGTGGAGTGAGTGGAGTCAGTGAGTGGGGTGAGTGAGTGAGTGAGTGAGTGAGTGAGTGAGTGATGTGAATGAGTGAGTGAGTGAGTGAGTGAGTGGAGTGGAGTGAGTGAGTGGAGTGAGTGAGTGAGTGAGACTGCTGGGAGTGTGAGGGAGGACGGAAGGAAGGAAGGACCGGCGGATGCGGGCGGGATGCCAGCCAACAAAACTAGAACCCCACACAGAGATGTGGGGAAAAAATACATATATGATATGCATTTTGTATATAGGTTTATGTTTGCATTATGATATGCACATTTTTTAATATAGTAGTTAAGGCACATATTTCCATTTTTAAATGCAGGCAGTGAAAGCCTATACATATGAACAGTTCTCAGAGTCTAGTTAGCTTGCGTGCCGCTTCGATTGGAACGAAGCTCTTGAAACACCAAGCGACTTTGAGTCCAGCTGATGACCCCCCGCTCTTCTTGACATGCGCATGCCATGGTCTGGTGATTTGGTCGACATGCCCAGCTGAGGCTGCAGCAGTTGTCCGGCATGTCGCCGTACGAGCTTCAGCAGCAGCAGCTGCTCCAGTTTCAGCAGTATCAGAGGGCTTTGCAGGCGCAGCAGGCGCTGGAGGCTCCCGCTATGAAGCAGATGCGTGCGCAGAGTGGCGGGGCTAGCAGTCAGCATGGGCGGAGAAGAGGTGCATTTTGCAACATGAGCCATGCTTGCTTGAAGGCATACCATTTTATCGTTGCGGCGTATCTATATGCAGTGAAGAAATGTACATGCGCATTCACCCACAGGGTGCCCCTGAACGAGTCCGTTTATTACATGTACACCACCACGCGCATGTTCCCATCCTGGATTGTGTTGCCAGGAAAATGACCTCAAATTGACTTCCCACACCTTCGATCCTTGGAGCAGGGCCAGTCCTTTGTTCATGTGCAGAGGTATTTCGTGATGAGTGCAATGTTTGAAGTTCATATAGGTGATGCAAAAAACTTAGGGCACCAAGCTATGAGGGGCCACGTCCGGGCCCTAGGGCTTCGTTGGATGCATTCCATTTCATGGGGGCACGGCTCAACATGACGTAACTTCCTAAAATGTACTAGGAACAAACCATAGCAAGCCCAGTGGAATGTATGGTTGCAGGTAGTTTGGGTATGTGTGCCACTTTTAGATTTGCATTTTGTGGGATGCACTCTCACCCGCTGTGGCAGTTGATGTGGTGTATAGCAAAAATCTCTTAAGCCATGCCATGGCTGTGGCGCATGTTGGACAATTGAGGTTTAAGAGAGCCAATGCCGCAGTGACTTGGATGGCTCGTGAGGATTCCCTCCACCGTGAACACATCCCCAGCCTCAAGGGCTCGTACGGCTGGTTGGTTGATCCATGAATTGCATATGTAAAGGCTCAGCAGTTTATAAGACTCCACGTGCCGGGCATGTTTGCAGGGATAGGGGGGCATCTGATTGAAAGATCACCTGACCATGGAGTAGTAGAGTAGTATAGAGCTTGGGTCGTTTCAACTTTTTTGGAATGACTTTGGTCTCATCTTGCTGACTTCAGACGAATGAACTTTGGACAGACCCCCAAACTTGCAACATGAAAGGTCCTGAACATACAAGTGCAAGAATTAACAGAAAACTGAAACTTGTTAATGAACAGGTCCAAAAGGACACTACTAGAAGTCTGCCGTCCCAAAAATAACCCACCCTATACATCCCTATACCAATTCAAAGGGAAAGGAGGACAGAGACGGGTGGAGAAA